TTCTTGGGTCCACACAAATGGGTTCCCTTTACGGGTTAACCGTGTCAAAGGTAAAACCATCCGTGAGAATCCCTCAATAAAACGCCTATAATATCCAGCCAAACCAAGAAAACTCCTAATCTCTGTAACATTTTTAGGACGTTCCCATTCTACCACTGCTTCAATCTTGCTCGGGTCATTCACATTTTGATGGTTTAGCATACAACTGATGCTCTCTCAGAATCTGCAAAACAACCTTTAGATGCTCAGAATGCTCTTCTTTACTCTTTGAATATATCAGTATGTCATCTATAAAGACCACCACAAACTGATCCAGATAGGCTTTAAAGATCCGATTCATATAACCCATGAAAACGGCTGGTGCATTTGTAAGCCCAAAAGGAATAACCAGATACTCATAGTGCCCATAACGGGACCTGAAAGCTGTCTTCGGAACGTCATCCGGCTTTACCCGGATCTGATGATACCCGGACCGGAGATCAATCTTAGAAAATACAGTCGCACCCCGCAACTGATCCAACAAATCATCTATCCGCGGCAAAGGATACTTATTCTTAACAGTAACCTTGTTCAACTGCCGGTAGTCTGTACATAATCTCATAGACCCATCCTTCTTCTTAACAAAGATCACCGGTGCTCCCCACGGAGACACACTCGGTCTGATAAAATTCTTACTGGACAAGTCTTCAATCTGCTTCTTCAATTCAGATAATTCTAGAGGTGACATCCGGTATGGGGCAAGAGAGATAGGTCCCACACCAGGCAATAAGTCAATTGCAAATTCAATTTCCCTCTCTGGAGGAAAGTGCGGAATTTCATCCGGAAAGACATCCTCAAACTCAGAGACAATCGGAATAACAGAAATTGGCTCCTTGTTGACGCCAACCAGACCTCCCAATAAAACATACCCGGAATCTCCTTCCTTCAAGGCCTTTACCACCTGAAGTACAGACAAATAAGGAGACTCCCTTTCTTCATCATGAGATGAGACAGAAATGGTTTTACTGCAGCAGTCAATCTTCACACAGTACTTGGACAACCAATCCATCCCCAGAATTAAATTCACAGAAGCAAGGTGCAAGACAATAAAGTCGGCAGAATATTCCCTGCCTTCATACTTGAATTTCACATTTTCACAAACATAGTCTTCATTAAAAACTCTTCCCACAGCCGTAACAATACGCATAGGAGTTTTCATTTTTTTCACATGCAGACCAAATGCTTCAGCTACATAATCAGCAATAAAAGAATGCGTGGCACCAGAATCAAACAAAACACTAAGCATTTCATCACGAATAGAAATCATACCTCGCACCAAACTAGCTGACCTCTCAGCCTCTTGCTGAGTCACTGCATATACTCGGGCAACTGGAGGTGGGAGAGGTAGAGATGGTTCCTCAACCACAATAGGAGCCGGAGTGGCCTGAATAGTAGAAACCTGTCCCCCATTAAAGGGGCAGTCCCTAATAAAATGCCCAGGTTGGCCACATTTGTAACACAGTCTTTGCTCTTTTCTGCAAACCCCTGCATGAACTTTACCACATGTAGCACATAGAGAAGCAGGCTTAATATTTCCAGGCTTAGAATTTCCCGCCTTTTTGAACTTACCATCAGACTGTCTAACCTGCAACCCTTTTCCTTTAGAATTCCCAGAGGTGTTTTTAGGACCAGAATTAGGAGCAGATTGGTCCTTATGCTTCCTTCTGTAATATTCTTGAATATTTTTACACTTTTTAACAAGTGCAGCAAAAGTATCAAATGAGTCACCTGCAAGTTTTTCAGAGATGTTATCATGTAATCCTCTATGAAATTTAAAAATCAAGTCATCTTCTGTAGGTGGAGCTCTCTGGAAATGAGAGTATTTGGCCAGCTTATTGAACTTATTCAAGTATTCATCAATAGACATCTGACCCTGCTTTAGTTCTTCAAATTCACCCTTCTTCCTTATCCGGGCTTCAGCCGGAAAGTATTTCAGCAAGAATTGCCTTTCAAATAAAGGCCAGGTAATAGCATAACCCTGACATTCCAAGGGCAGACGGGTATTTCTCCACCAATCAGCTGCATCATTCTGCAACATATAAGAAGCATACAACAATTTCTGCTGATCATCACACTCCATGACAGTAAAAATGCGATCCAATTCTTCTAACCACTGAATTGCAGCAATAGGATCAATGCCTCCTTTATAATTTGGTGGTGCATGTTTTCGGAAGGCATTTAGCATTCTTTCTCTTTGCTCTCTATTAGTGGCTGGCTGTGCCACACCACCCCTGTGACTAGATTCTTCATTCACATCATTATTTCCTTCACCCTCCACAACAATGGGATTATGAGGAGGAGGAACAGGCTGTTGTGGTTGTGGCTCAGGCTGTGGCTGTTGCAAAGGTTGTGGCTGTGGACCTTGCCCACCCGCCCTCACCTCAACCAAGAGTAATCTCATCATTTCAATATTCGCCATTCTGCTTGCTGCCATCATTTCTTGATTGGCCAACCTATTAGCCTCTAACAGATCTTGATTTGCTTTCATCATCACTTCTAGCTCTCGCTGCCTAGCTGCAGCCATATTTTGTTGCATCTCAGTTAAGGCCATTATCATTGGATCTGGCTGTGAAGTATTTCCCCGCTGGTTTAGTCGGGGTCTAGCCAAATCTGCTAATATTGGATCGGTCGGGTCAATAGGAGGATCAGAAGTCCTTCTTGGGCGAACCATAATTCTGCATATTTCACACAAAGGAATGAGTTAGCTACGCTCACACTCGGTGATCAGACATGCATATCATAGTATTCCAAGAAAAACTCAAGAATATAACAACCCGAACAGTTCATGCAATATTTCACAGGCTCTTCTAGAGAAACTGCTCTGATACCATAAATGTAACATCCCCGTCTCGAGCCGGTTCAATTAACATACATATGATAAAACAGAAAACAGCGGAAGACTTAACTTCTGAAAATACGAGCTAACTTTTTCTTTTTCTTTTTAAATTCTCATTCGTCGTGAACGAAAATCGGGCAGAGTTTCCTCTATAAATCGGACAACTGGGGATTTTCCAATCCCTCACAGAAGCATTTCCTGATAAACAGTTTATACAAATATAATCAAATGCCCATCCATGGGCGCATGCATAACTTGGCTCAGTGCCACTATATCTAACAGCATGCAATCCAACACGTAAACATATCTGAATACTACCTCATCATATAACGTGCCTGAATACCCAAATGTACATGCATCAAAGCGACAGACATGTACAAAACATATACAGGCCATATACACAATAAAGGATCAATATCATGATCCATCAAATGCGAAAATACTAAAATACATCAAACACTCCAAAAAGGTAGTAGCCTACAGCCACTCAAAATCCAATCTGTCAACTGCCTCAGCCACGTGTCGTGTCCCTGCCTAGTGAGGACTCACCGGGAATCTGGGCACCTGAAAATATGTCCCCAAAGAGGGGTGAGATTACAAATCTCAATAAGCTCCAGGTTTATAGAGAATTCTCCATACCCCTGGCTCGCTCCTGCATGAAAGTCAGATACAGAGTATACAAATACAACATATAACAGATATCATAACAGAACAGAGCATATATCCATATAATATCAGAGATGTGCGCCGTCATTCCCAAGGGAGGACCCCAAGCGGAAATCAACGCACGTGTTCCCGAGGGAGGACCCCAAAGCGGAACCAGACATATCAGAGGCGTACACCATCAGTCCCGAGGGAGGACCCCAAAGCGGACATCCGGGTACTATACAATCAATGGCCAGAGATTGTTACAGAAATCATATTACAGAAGTCATATTAGAGCAAAACATATCATGTTATCAAATAACTCTATATGAATGCATCTATACAAAGCATCTAAATCACAACCATACAGTCCAACCATAGTTCACTAACCATGGTGGAGCACTCAAGCAGGAAAAGACTCCTTAAACATAGAGCTTACCTCTTGAAGCTTTACCAATACGCTTACTTGTGGAACAAGTTACTTTTATCGCTTCAAGAGATTTCCGATCCTTCTCAATCCCTAGGCACACCTAGAGAATAATTTACAATGCATCAATAAAATGATGCAATACCATAATTATTTCATAAGCATACATTTTATCGCTTATTTTCCTTTCTTTGCATTTTTGCCAATCCTATGCCAATACACAAGTCTAGACCTCATTATAACCGTTGGTGTTCTTTAATTTAATCAACCATTCCCTTAGGAATTTTCAACATAAATCGTGCTATTTTTCTTCAAAACTCATCACCTTTATACAATTTATTACAACACATTTTATTTAAAATAAAATGTACAAAATATATCCCTAACTACCCTATAGGTCGAACACTACAAGGACATAGGCAAAGGTTCTTTTTCTTCACTTACATGTAACTTACACAAACAAATACATGTTTTCATAAGGTTCCAACTTAATTTTTGGAGCATAAAGTCCCTCCAAAGCCCCACAAGGCCTAAACCTAAGGGCATATTTCATATAATTGTTCCCACTTTGGCATTCTCACTAATTTATCAAATTTTCACTTAATTCCTACACATTAAACCTTCCTAATACTTAAGATAAAATTGTGCACAACATCCTACTCTTCACCTATGATGGCCGAACATGTAGAGGAAAGCATAGCATTTTTTTCTAATTTTTTTACATACACACAAATGCTTATTTTCATTTCTTAAATCCAAAACATCAAAGATTCATCATTAAATCAAAGTTTAATACACAATGCTTTCCTACTAAAACATGCTCATAACTTTTATAACTTAAATCATCAAAATAATACCATGGAAATAGAGGTTTGTTACCTCAAATCAACTACCCAAAGCCTAGAAGACCTACACCAAGAGAATCTCCATCAAAAACTTCATTTTGCCCTCTTGATGAATAGTGCACGAATTTGGGATGACAAATATCTCCCTCCACAAACGAAATCAGCTCAAATAGAGGGTTGGAATAGCTTCCTTGGATGATTTCCTATGAGATTGGTATAATGGGTGAAAGATTTGGTTGCTTAATCATGGAGAAATCAAAGAAAAACAAAAACAAACCCTAAGCTTCCTTTTGCCATGGCTGTCACGGGTGGGGAAGGGAAAAGGGAGAGAGAAAGTGTAAGGGAATAGTGAATTTAAGTGACTTAGGGGTTTTTAAGCACATGTGGCTTTTAACCGATTGTTTTTCTATTGCGTATTTTAACTTAACGGACCCGGAACTCACTTATATCTACGGAAATATTTTTATTTTTCTAAAATCATTTACATTAATTTTAATTTGTTACTAAACAATATTCATAATTCACAGTATGGTTTTTGCACCGTTTTAACGAAATGCACTGTGAATCACTAACTGTACTTCGCTCACTTCTGAACTTAACTTATAAACTTATCATTTTCTTGGGCCTATTTTGACTTGCTTGGCATATATTGGACTTTCTTATTCTTATTTCATCAATTATTTATTTCTGGACTCTACCGGTTGCTTAAACAGCAGTACAAAATACCCGGTAGAAACACTATTCACGAGATTTTCACGGAAAGTGCCAGACTATACAATTTTTCGTTCTGAACTCATATTTGTCGTTAGAATTATCAAATTCTGTCTCTAAAATTATTTTGCTCTTTTTAAGCTCTACCGGTTAATTCACAAAACTGTAAATTCTCCGGCAGAACGCACTGTTCATAACATAGTCATGATTACAGTCAAAATACTCGAAATCGCTCACTGAATCTCATTATGGCATTTAAATCCTTAAATTAAATCTCTAACTAAGATTTACCAGTTAGGGTCATTATATATGTATCCCAGTAGTACATAGTTATAAAGGATAGCTATAGATAACCTTAGTGGCTGTTGAAATGTTTATATATATATATATATATATATATATATATATATATGAGTAAATACCATTTTCGGTCCTCAGCAAATTTTACGATGCCCGCTTTAGTCCCTAGCAAATAAAAAGGCTATTCGTGGTCCCTAAGAAATTCAAAGTGGATCCATTTTAGTCTTTTTGAGGGACTAATGTGGGTCTTTTTTGAATTTGTGAGGGACCACGATTTCAACTAAATTGGTCCATTTTGAATTTTTTAGGGACCACGAATAGCCTTTTTATTTGCTAGGGACTAAAGCGGATATCGTAAAATTTGCTGCGGACCAAAAAGGGTATTTACTATATATATATATATATATATATATGAGGAAAATATTTCTAAAACCACTTTAGATGAGATTGTCTACAACTACCCTTTTTAATTAAGTATGACCGGTTATACATAAAAATTACATTTTCTCTCTCCGCCACATCAGCCGAAAGTGTCTGAAGAGAGAGAAAAAAGAACAACTTTATTGTTATAACTATGTATGACCGGTCATACTTAGTTACAAAAGAATAGTTGTAAATAACCTTATTTAAAGTTACTGTAGAAATACTTTTCTATATATATAAATATATATAATATTGAAATAAAACATGCATTGAATGCTTTAGAGTACATAGAACTATGCTCTTTTTATTTTTCTCCATAGGCGAAAAGTAAGTTACACAAACAAACTATATGGATTCGTAGACACAAAAGACAATTTTACTTGGATTGCGATTAGGGGTGTTCGCGGTCTGAATTGGATCGGTTTTGGAAGCCAAAATTATCCGATTCAATTCCTTCGGTTTGATCATATAATCATCCATTTGGTTTTGATTTTTTTCAAATCCGATCCGATCCAATTCAATTTTTTTCGGTTTGGATTGGATCGATTTTCGGTTTTTTGAAAATCCTAAAATTTATTTCATGATCATGGTGCAAATAACATCTTTTGTATATATTGGCTTTGTAAATTTTATTTTATTTTGAAATACAAAAGAATTAGTAAACTATAATATAACTTTTTTTTTTGGTAAGGAGATATGAAGCTATACAAAGATAAAAATTTTTTTGATGAGATGTGACTAGATTTTTTCTTGGATTTAGTTGATGGGTTAATGAGTCTTGAGTTTATAAAATTTTGGGCTACGATTGGGGAAAGACCCAAGTAGGTAGAGGAAAATTAATTTATTGGATTTGTTTGGATTGGATCGGTTTTCATCAACTCATCCAAAAACCGATCCAATCTAATTAAAATTTGCGATTTTTTTCGATTTTCAGTTTTTTGGTTTATTTGGTTATCGGTTTTTCGGTTCGGTTATCGCGGTTTGAATCGGTTTGGATCGGTTGATGAACACCCCAAATTGCGATAGTAGGCATTAGTCTGCAATAGAAAAAATTGTTAAATTTTATGTCCCCGTATTTTTTTTCTTTCTTGGGTATACCTTAATAAACTAAACCATATCATCAATCTTTCATGAAAAGTAAGGGTCATTAAAAAAAGGGTTTTATAATTCTCATGTTGAAGGAGAATTGAAATCTTATGTTGTAGAGATAAAAAGCATGTGGGACCCATGTGTTAGAAAAAATTATATGTAGGACCCATGTCAGCACGGAAATCAAAGGGTGTGTAGAAAAATTGTAATTCTCATGTTAAATGAGAATTATAAAACCCTTAAAAAAAAATATAGGGACGAATAGAGAAAGGGACGGAACCCAAATAAATGAAAATATAGGGATTAAACCCCCCAAAAAAAAATTATTATAAGACAAAAACTTAAATTAAAAATTCTACTTTAAATCAAAAAAGATAAATGAGTATTTTAGATAAAATAAGTGTAAAAGACTAACGTAAAACTCAAAATAAGTTGGGGAGAAAAGGTGTATTTTTTCCATCGGTTGATATTTTTCTATAGAATTTGAATTCCAATCTTCTTAGTTGAAAAGCTAAACACTTACAAGCTTGTTTAAGATCATGATATATTAAAATGTACTTCATTATACGCATACTTGATTCAGACGACAGCATTCAAAGTTCACATTTAGACTGAAATCACATTCACAATATATAACTGCTGTTTTGCAAGGAAACGTTGTAGTCTTATAGCCATCATGTTTTCCATTTTCCATTAGAACTCATATTGTTACTATCATTGCCAAAAGCTAGGGGATTTAACCACAATTACTACCAACCCCTGCACGTAGCAATATTAAAAGGTGATTGGGAATCTACAAAGGCCTTCATTGATAATGACCCAAGTGCATTGACAGCAAAGATCACCATATTTAGCGATACTGCACTGCATGTTGCAGCTTTAGGAGGTCAGTGGCAACTTGTTGAGAAGTTGGTGCAACTTACGCCTGCACATGTACTTGGAGAGCTGGACTTGAGGGGTCGTACTTGCCTGCACTATGTTGCATTCGGTGAGAGCACAAAGACTGCCAAGGCATTGGTGGCTAGAAATCCTTCTCTGACACAACTTACTGACTTCGAAGGATTCACACCTCTCTTCTATTCCTCTACCAGATGTAAAGAAATGGTGTGGTACCTTGTCTTGAACACTACAGATGAGACACCTGGCTGTCCATTCTCTGGTCCTTCTGCTGGGGACCTTGTGGGTAGGCTCACTGCTTCAGGATTTCATGGTAATTAAAATGCTATGCTGAATGGTATATTATATGTTATATGTGTTTTCAGGATTCCTAATTATCCAAGAGATAGAATGGTTGTAATTTAAAATCTTTGTTTCTTCATAGCTCTATCCATGAATAGTGTGATGGACAGTAGATTGTCTAACTGCAGGTTAATCTCTTGTTCTTAAACTATTGTTGACAACATTCAAGTCTCAATTCTTATCAAGGAAGAATATTAGGTAGATGCAGTAATTACTGAAACGTAACCAACTCTCCCAAAAAGCTTAAGTGATTGGGTGGTGAAGGCACATAAATGATTTTATGATATCTCTTGACACGTTCTCTCAAGCCTTTTTTTTGGGGGGGTTATCTTATGCTTAAAAAAATTCAACTTTATTTTATTTTTATTTGAATAATTGAGTGACAAGGATTGAACTCTAAACCAATTAATCTTAGGCTCTCATACCATGTTACGTAACGAACTCTCTCAAAATGATTTGGTGTTACTGTGAGTGATATTGATTGGTGGCATTAACAGCTGTTGCTGTTAGTGATGCGTCAATGCAGTATAATTCATTCCATTGAATATCTCATAAAATCAGAAGGTGCTTGTCTTGCAGCCAAACTTCAATGTTTGTTTATAAAATCAGTATGATATGGCTAATGCACATAACAAAAAGGAGTAACGATCTCTTGTTAAAGATTTCCCAATATATATGGAATATAACTAGAGTATACAGCCATTCTTCTAATCTTTGATGTGATTATTTGTAGTTTCAGGTTTTAAACATTTCAATTTTATATATCTAGTGTAGCAAAAAGCCAGAGTAATAATGTAGAAGGATATCAAACTTTTCGAACATTCATATATATGCTCCATTTCTTGCTTCTTAAGAATAAATATGCTACATTGATGACCAAGCACATAAAACTCGTTATTATTCTTATGTTTCTACCCTGCTCTTTATATCCGTTTATAACTTTCTTTTTGATTATCCCAAGCACAGATATCACCATGTATCTACTCCAGCGCTACCCTAACTTGGTCACTGTTTCTTATCCAAATGGAAGCAGCGTTATACTTTATTTATTGTCAAACAGGCCCTCAGACTTCCAAAGTGGTAAAAATCTTGGGTTTTGGGGAAGATGCATTTACCATTGTAAGTACCCTCTTCTTTGGGGTTACTTCTTTTTCTCTTACCATGCTTCTAACAGTGGTAATACTCTTCTGCCACATTCAATTTTAACATTCATCTTCCATTATATAAGGTGTTCCAGTGGAACTCGATTATTTACCACCAAGTCAGCTGAGAGGAGATTTGAAAGATTCTTATGGCGAATCAAACTATCACCAATCTTATTTTGGAGTTACAATATGGAATGCAATTCAGAATCTTGGTATGTTATGCTTGTACCGAAGCACATTTCTAGAGATCCTCAAGCTGTAACATTCTCTTAGCTTCTCCTTTTCTTTATTTTTAAATTAAAAAATTAAAAAAAAAAAACGTAAAAACTTCATTTGCAGTTCCTAGCATAAAGCTAGTTAGAGATGCGAAGTTGAGACACGTATCTGCTGTGAGATTGGTAGAGCTTGTTTGCTCACAAGTTTCAACCATGAACGACTCTGAATTCTGGAAGTCTTTTGTGAGTGGATACATTATTCTCAATGCCACATCAGTTGGCATAGTTGAAATTTTGAGGATATGTTTCCACTTTTTTCCTGATTTGGTTTGGGCTAGCGTTCGAAATGAAGGGAATATAGCTCATATTGCCATCAAGAATCGGCAAGAAAAGGTTTTAAGTCTTCTGTGCAAGATGCCAATAATTTTCCAGATTTTAGTCTTGGACAGAGGTGATCCACAAACTACTTCATCACATCTGGCCGCAAGGTTTGCTTCTCATAAAGTGGCATCAATTTCTGGTGCAGCATTTCAAATGCAAAAAGAGTTACAGTGGTTTAAGGTTTGTGTAATCTTATAATCACCTTCCTTTTAATTTTGAAGTTCAACTCTATATAGATATTGATAACATGGCATAATGTCTAACAGGAAGTAGAGAAATTGGACTACCCTGCCCATAAAGAATATAAAAACAAAGATGGTAAAACACCTTGGCAATTGTTCAGAGAAGAGCACAAGACATTGCATGAGGAAGGGGAGAAATGGATGAAGGATACATCAAACTCTTGTATGTTAGTGGCAACTCTTATTGCTACAGTTGTGTTCGCTGCTATTCTAACTGTACCTGGAGGTAACAGCCAGGACAAAGGAATTCCAATATTCTTGCACGACCGCACATTCATGGTGTTTGCTGTGTCAGATGCATTTGCTTTGTTTTCCTCTATGGCTTCTCTTTTGATGTTTTTATCAATCCTAACTGCACGCTATGCTGAAGAAGATTTTCTCAAGACATTACCACAAAGATTAATATTTGGACTGGCTCTTTTGTTCTTTGCTATAGTAACTGCACTGATAGCATTTGGTGCAGCTCTCTCTTTGGTTCTAAGGGAGAGACTAAATTGGGTTTCAATTCCAATTGCTCTTCTGGTTTGTGTCCCAGTTGCTCTATTTGCAAAGCTTCAACTTCCCTTGTTCATACAAATGATCATATCAACTTATGGATCTCTCCTACATCATCCTGAGAGTCTTTGGTATGGCTTTTGTGTTGTTCGAGCACCTGAAAAACAAGACAAAGCAAAGAAAACAAATATCATATAGTTTTATTTATTTCTTTATTTGTGGGTAAATTAACAAATACCATGTAGTTATTTGATAATGAATAATTATGATCTAATTTGGCAATGCATTTGGACAAAAGGACATGTACTGGGTTTGCAACTTGTAGTACATAAGTAATTCTTAATAGATGTTACAGCACAGACATTCTCTTAATTTAAACTTTTATCCAGAAGTTTTACTTTCAATTTTTCAGTTAGCTTTATTAACATGTTATTTGAAAAGTTATAGGCTTAGTAAAAAACTAAAACTAAAAAAATTATAATTGTTTATACTGGATGTTACCGATTCCTATTAATCTGTTACAAAGTTAACTAGAAAGAATTTAGACTTGCTGAAATTTTTTGCCAGTTATCTATTAAAAATTACTAAGTTACAGATCCGAGCAAAATAGGCAACATCATGCTTCCTTTTTTAAGATAATGCCAAATTGATCTCCTTTTAATTTATTAGGACATGTTAAATCATTTTTCCATAACAAATAACAAATAATTATTTACCAATAAAATTGATAACTAATAGTACAATTATTTACTTCTCAAATAAATGATGTTGTTGAAAATACAATCAAATATTACTAAAAAAGATAGTGAAAATAAATTATGGCTAGTACAAATTAATATCATGATTGAAAGAAATATTTATGTGGTTAAACTAGCAAATATCCTTTATATATTATATGTATTTTTTAGTTCAGGTAGAATTTAAAAAATATAAAGTAAAAGAAATAGGTTTAAGAAATAGCATTTAAAATTATGAGAAAAAAATACACAATTCATTCAAATTGAATATAAAAAAATAGGAGAAAAATCCGTTTACAATTTTTTTTTACAAATTTTTGCAAACTACACTATGTACTGCCGGAAGTACATAGTGTAACCTAGTGTGCTTCTGGAGTCCATAGTATAGTTTGTAAGAATTTATAAACAAAAAGTTAGTAAATATAACACTCTCCTAAAGAACATATATTATAAAAATTAAAAATTATAAAAAAATGCATAACATGACTTTAAATTTAAATTTTTAGAAAATAAATTAAAATACGTGTTATTGTTTAAAGGAGAATAAAATAAGGTATTAGACTAATCTAAGACTAAAACAAAATATAAGAGTGCATAAAATTAAAAACCTTTTTCAAAAAGAATCACAATCCGTACTAAAGTGTCAAGCTATATTTATGTTTTTTAATACATTATTATCAATTTTGTTTTTCATGCTTACCCTGTTTCATTTCTCTTTTCTTCCTAATTATCATGAATCTTTGCAGAAATTCTAGTTGCAAAATCTTTTAAAAAAAAAAAGCTACGCGAGTTTGTTTAGGCCTAAAATAATTTTAAGAATTGAAACATGTTTACGCATAAGAATTTGAGATTTGAAGATGATGTCAAACTCATAAAAATCTTTTCAAAAAATCCGCTAACGCTAAGTTTACCAATAACATAATCGAAGGGTCTTTTTCCACTTGATCCAGAGGATTCGTGTGTACTATAAGGCAAGGTAGTAGGTTGGTTTTTCATATAGTTTTGGTTTCAAAACACAAAAATATACAACCAAAATGGCTGAATGGAAGAGGTTAACGATATTGGGGAATGGTAACTATTCCTCCTTTCTCCACGTGAAGCAAATGGAAAAGTTAGGAAAGTCAAAACTCAATACATTCATTGTAAAAAGAAGGAAGCATATTTGTATCATTATAAGCACTTTAAGGATAAATTTTTACATTTAAAAAAAAATGTTATATTTACAATTTTTTTTCGTTTACAAAATCTTACAACCAAGTCTTAATCGTTGATTTTCGCTAATCTGATGATTATAATATATTGAAAATTAATAATTAATTAATAAGTGTGACCCAATAAATTAGAACCGTCAGATTGACAGAAATCAACAGTACAAATTTGATTACAAGAGTTTATAAGTAAAAAAAGTTATAAATATAACTTTCCTCTTAAAATAAAAAGAAAGGTTATACTTAAACCATTGATTTCTGCTAATCAATGATCATCATTTATTGTGAATTAATAATTAATTAATTAATTTAATTTACGAAAATAAAAACCATTTGATTAGCAAAAATCAAAGATTAAGACATAATTGTAAAAAGTTGTAAAAGAAAACAGATTCATCAATGTTTTTTTTACTTCTCTCTCTCCAGCTTTGTCGAAAAGTAAAATGCTATATGGTTTGTATAAAGTTCAAATCTTGAATCATCAAAGATGATACAGAAGTTGAAATTATATCTTCTGATGTGCCTACATATTCGGATCTGCTTTTGCAAGAATTTAGTTCAATTACTGATTTTCCAAAAGCTTTTAATTTTATAACAGTAATCTTTCTTTCAACATTATATTAACATATACATCGGCAAACCAGTTACTAATTTGTTTTCAATTTTGATTTTATTTTCCACGTTAATTTTGAGGAAAATACAAAATTAATTCTAACCATATTCATAAGGGTAATCATGAATGAAATTTAACTTAGTCTAACACTATCCAATAATTTGACTGGATTAATTTTTTCAAACTTAGTCTAATTTCAATTAATGTTTGATTCAGCTTAAAATTTAAACGAATAATATAAATTTAAATGTGAAATACAAATTTAAATTTAGATTCATTTCATATTTTTATCTCTTCTTTCTCATAATTACCCACATGTGATGGTAAAAAAATATTATTCATACACTATAATAAACTAAATTATAAGTCTATTATAGAATTGATCAACAAAATTATTTTCATCCCTATCAAGAAAAATCTTATCCATCACAGGTAAATCCTGCACATACCCGGTTAAATAAATTTATACCAACCATACTACAACAATTCCAAATTTTTAACCCAGATAGTTGCAACATAGCCATAATAAAATAGAAACAACTCACACCGCAGGACAGCAACACAATGATAAAATAGGCATCACATTCATTAAGGATAATAATACCAAGATAATGAAGAGAATGCACTAGTAAGTAGAAATGGTAGAAGTAAACAATTTAAACAGGACTCACTATAAGTAACAATTTAAAGTTCTGGGCTATGTTAACACCCATAACCCCTCTCTCACCAATAAATTAGACCTCCTGGCAAAACTGATCATCTCATTGTTGTCTGAGATATAATAGCTTCAACAAGTGAGGCAGAAATTTTGATACAAGGAGTAGGAACAGAGACAAGATCTTAAGCAGCACCACCAGCCTTGCCTTTCTTCCTTTGAATCTTCTTCATGTAGAATTCCAGCTCTTTGCCCTCTAATAAATATCTGCCAGGAAAAATCATAAGAAATTAAGTGCTTACAGTCTCAGTCAGAACCATTAAATTTAAAATTAAAAAGATTGTCCATTACAAGAAATTAAAGAACATTTAATTTTACCCCAGAAATTTACAAGTGAGCATCTAATGATTCTTAATTCACATCTGAAGTCAGCATCACCAAACAAGCTACTTCAAATATGACGATAAAATTGGTAAAAAAATTATAAGGACACTGATGATCTATATCCATTTCTTGCAGTTCCTTTTTGCTGCAGAAAATCATAACCACAGCTACCTTATGATGAGGGAGCCATAAATCCTTTAAATTCTAGCTCATAATTTATATCCTCTTGCAAATGAGAGGCTTTGTTCAACAAAAACCTTCAGAACAATCTAACTATGGAAGGAATTTCAAAATTTTATCATCTCACTTGGAGCAGGAAAGCATGCACTCATATATCTGATAGCTAATAGTATAAAAAAGTTACTTACCCATCAGCACGACCACATTGACCAGGTCGGGACGAGATACAAGCCATAAGGCGACCACCACTGAATTGTTCTTCAATGTGAGGATCAAGCACCCGGTTCTGTTTACGCTTTTCCAATTTTCTCAAGACATGGTTACTCTTCTTCGCATCCTCAGTTGCAGTTTCAACATCCTGATAAACCATAGGAGTTTAATGACTTAAGAAATACTCTAAGGTTATCAATCTTGCCAGAAAAAAAATCAGTTGATCAAAAAATGATAATCTTTTCCCAATTTTTTAAAAAACAAACTATAATATTTTCATATAGCAACCCAGTTTCAGAACACATTTTAGAGAAATGACCAAAAAACACAAAGATCGGTTTTTTCTACATTGAAGCTTTATAGCCCTTTAAAAATTAGAACCTAGATTTATAGAATATAGAGATTTACAAAAAAGACAAAAAAAGGTGCATTATAACAAAAGTGCACAATACACGTGCATACTACTAAAATTGAGTAAAGAAAGTGGATGAGATAATGAAATTGAATTTGAAGAATAATCCACGCATAAAACCAAAAGATGTAAGCTTCCAAGTTCCAAAACCCAACATTAGCAAAAACTACGACGAAATCTCACAGAGCATTATTTAAACATGGAAAGCATCTGAAAGGGAAACTGCACGTAAGAAGCAAAATGCACTAGCAAAAGTGTTTCACTTCTAGTACCTCCCCTTCCTTCTTCGCAGAGGTTATTGTACTCTTCTTCTTGCGACCAATGTCAAGACCATAATGTTGGAGATACCACTGCTTGAAAGGTGCAGCATCAACCTGAACAATAGCACTCCTGACCAATGTCTGAGTACGAACAAGCTCATTATTGGATGCATTATACACCACATCAAGAATTCTTGTCTTTCGAGTCACAGCTTCACTCCCCCAAGAGTAATTCCCAGTGTCAAGCCTCAATGCACGCCACTTCACATTCCCACCTCGAACCCTAATCCTCCTAACAGTTTTGTTGCTTGATATCTTTGTGTTTGCAGGTTGTCTCCCAAGCTCATACCTGTAAACAAAGACACCCCATTAAACACAAAATAATGAATAATCATCTGAATAAGAACAGTAGCATCATAAAAAAAAAAAGGAATAAATACATTTTTGGGACCTTAACAAATAGAAAACAGGATCCCCACTTTAGTCCGTCACAAAAAAATTAGTCTGGAGTCACTAAGAAAAATTCAAAATGGACCTATTTAGTTGAAATCGTGGTCCTCACAAATTCAAAAAAAAAAAAAAAAGACTCATATTAGTGCGGACTAAAAAAAACTAAAATGAGTTGACTTTAAATTTCGTAGGAACCTTGAAAGAATTAAAGTGAGGACAATATTTTTTTGTTAGAGACCAAAAAGATATGGGAAATAATACTCTCATGTCACATGAGATACTCCCATTTTCCTACACAAATTCGTTTTCTGTGCCAATTAATTTTTCTTTTCTGTTTTAATATAAAATATGGGACCCACATTTAACTTCTTTCTACTTTTTTTATCTCCTACAATCCTACAACATAAGAAAAGTTAAACCCAAAAGATATTTACTCTAAAAAAAGAGTATATAAAACAGAGAGAGTAGTGAATTATTGAAAAATACAATCCCTACCCTCATAGTAGTAAACAATGTAATTAAATCATCTAATAAACAGGGCCTTTCCATTGTTGAATTTATCAAGGTATTATTCTTACATAACCACACCAACACATATATTAGTCAATGCTGATAAACATGAATATAAGAAATTATAATTAAAATAAATAAAGGGGTCCTTTTAACAGATTCTAGCATGTTCAACATAAAGATGAAAAATGATGAATAACAATAATAGAAAGCTAAGAGAACAGATAAAAAGAAGTTTGAAGAATTTACTTTCTCTTCTTCCTCCAAGCCTTCTTCTTGCCACCAGTGGCACGCCTCTTGTGCATGGAATCACGAGAGATACCCATTTTCGAAGAAGCAGAAAACGGTGGTGCCGCTGCTAGCTCTGGCTAGTGACTTTCAGGGACAAGAAGAAGAAACAGCATCTAGGGTTAAGCGCCTATTGGGCCAAGCTGAACACACACCTAAACGAGGCCCATTTTGTATATGTGTGTCCAGGCCCAGTTCCAGTTGAAAAAGCTTTCGGGCTTAACACTCTCATCATTATTTCCAAGTAATATACGTATATACTTTAGTCTGAAATTAAGTGCAAATTCACATGATTCTTCGTTAAAAATGTAAATTTTTTTTTTTTCAACTATACATAATTTTTTTTTTCTTCTCCCAAGTTCTAACAATATTTAACTTAAAAAAAAGTTCACTTTAATTATAAACCTTAATTTATTATTCACTTTTATTAAATAAGCCGTATGAATATTGTACTTATAAGGATAGCGCGTAAAATTGGAACAAAATTTTAGTACTCATACTTCGCCAACTTATCCTAGAAACACATAACTTAGTTGCGTTTATTCAATCAAATTCTCCAAATTAAAGCCTTTCTAATTTAAGTAGATGAATTATGTGCGGGACAACCATCAGAATCTCATTTTGTTTTTGGTAAAAAAAGAAGAAGCAAAATTTCATGTTTGAAAAATTACTTTTCATTCTATCATGTTTAAAATTCCAGCCTAATAGGATGCATTTGCCACCTGATAAAAGAACTTGAGTCCCATTGGTTGAGTCAACAACACCAATCCTTAAAATTAAAAATGTTTTGCCATGTGGCAAAAGTATATGAGTTCAGCTCAGTTAAACTCATCACGATTCTTCTACGTGGCAAAACATGTCTTGCTAAAACTAATAACAAAACTAAGAGCCCGTTTGGATGGGCTTTTTTCTTCTTCAAAAGTTGTTTTTTTTTAAGAAAAAAAAAACACTTCTCGTAAAAAGTCTGTTTGGATGTCTGTTTTTAAAAAAAGCAGAAGTCATAAAAAAAGCTAAAAACTTACTTTTTTTTGAAAGCTAAAATTTGTAGCTTTTTAAAAAAGCAGAAGTCAAAAATCAAATATTTTTTTAAAAAATCAAATATTTTTTAAAAAATCTAAATAGCTGTAACTTTTATAGAAAGTACTTTTAAAATAAGGAAGTGATAAAAATAACTTTTTTAAAAAGGCAATACAAGCTCTAAATCATAACATTTCAAAAAATAACTTTAGGAATGGGTATTAATATTTTTTCCCTAGTAACTGTCCAAACATGTACTACACTGAAAATTTAGTAAAAACTTGAAAACCTACCCACACTAAGATTCATCTCTTTGTATAAAAAAATGAAGAAGCGATAATTTCCTTTAATCCAACGTGCCTGTGCCTTAGGAAACCAAAACTTCATTTTTTCTTTGAAAAAAAAAACTTAACCTAAAATGTATTAAGAAGTGCTAAAACATATGCCTGCATATATAAACAGAGTGCACCTTTTTTTAATTTTTTTTATATAAGTACTTATTAGTTGAATTCGACATAAGATGGGCCAATCAAGAGGCCCAAAAGCCCATGGCCCCCAAAACAGAAAAGCCCAGAGAAAATGGAAATGCAAAACATGATTCTTGTTTCCGTACAATGAGAATACTTCCTTCGTGTTCGCAGAAGACATAAACATTGGACTGTTAGAACTTACAACGCTTGTGGTATAACCTTCGTTGACGCCTTTTGGGAGTCTCAATGATGGGATTCTCAATGGCAGCTTCGTTGGGTTCCCATATTGTGCTGAGAGGCACTTGTGAAACAAGAATCAAGTGCCAATTATTCCGCAGAACAGAGCAGAATAGCGTTGGTTTCAAGTTCTCAAAACACAAGGCCATTCCAACAGCAATTTTTCTATGCAAGCAAGAGTCAACTGAGTTGGACGAGAGGAAGAGCCCAAATGAGGTAACACCCCACTTACCATTTTACCATCTTCTTTTTACACAGTTGTTCAAGTTAGTGCCTTTTTGCTTATTTGTTTTTTCATGTTCATATGTGATGGGAATTGGAAAAGTGGAAACCAGTTTCTGTTGGACAAGCTTCTGTTTTGATGGACTGCTTGATGAGTAGCTACATCCATGTAAACTGGGATGACAAATGATAGCTGTATGATGTTTCAGTTTGATAAGGATTTGTTCTATTGAATGTGTTTTTGTAAGTATGTTATTCGTGGATGAGACTCTAGTTTTACAATGATGGGATCCAGAAAAACTGGAATCCTGGAGAGTACTTTCAATTTGTTGATAGAAATTAATTGGCTTTGCTGTGGATATTCTTTTTCTTTTGTTGTTGTTGTTGTTGTTATATGGATTATAAGTTTCTGGATAAGGATACTGAAACACACAAATATGTGGATTGAGTACAATTAGCCAGAGGCCTTTTAGAAAGTAGTTGTAATCAAAATTTGTAGGAGTGATAGACGGGGTCTTTGCTTGGGCTTCTTTTGATAATAGGTGGTGATATTTAATGAGATTGCCGATGATTGATGACCGTTTAGCACTTTCCTTCAGCTTATCTTGGATCTAATTGTTGAAAATATTATCTTGGATCTTTGGTACAGTGGGTCTGGTTTCTACTAAAATTATTTGTATTTAGTAACCTAAGACACACATTTCTACAAGGGTTCATTTTGGTTAGTCAAGAAACCCAAGTTCTTTAATAGGGCTTGAAATAGTTATGGACTCCTAGCATTTTTGCAAGCAATTGCTAATTTGCTGCCTTGAAGTGTACTGATTGTAACACCCCGTTCTAGAACCGGTTTGTTAACATCGCATTATGATATTAAGCGCAGTTACAATCACATGGGTTCAATTAAAATCCGGTTTGGTGAAGAATGGCATTTTGGTCAGTGTTCCTAGTTATCTTCTAGGTAGTGGGTAGTGGATTGTGGGTAATGCTTAGTGCAGTTAGGGAGTTACCATCATTTTTGGGTGAATTCTAACGGAAAGGGGGGAATGGATTTCAGTCAGGGGACTGAGGCTTGGAGGACATCTCCATGCTAGGAGTATAGACTCACTATTGTGTAATTTTCCTTGTATTTTCTTACTGTAATGTACAGATTTTGACTCAGATAGGGAGTTTGTTGTATCAGTCACCCTTAGGATTCTTGGACTCAAAGTCCAACCCCTGGTTCCTATAATTACTGCCTGCAACCCCTTGGTGCTTGATGCAGCTTAAAGAAACAATAAGGAAATCATAGCTCAAGCTTTTGGTATAAATGTGAAATGGCATGCACTGATCCTACACATCTGGGCTCTCTAGAGTAGCACTTTGCATGGAGAGTTTTCCTATGTCTGAAAACTTATTCCTTCTCATCTAACTATATATCAAGAATTTGTTAGTACTTTGGAATTCCAATGAAAAGCCGGGAAACTGACTCTTCACTTGTTTATTTTATTTACAGGTTAGAGAAGAGATCAAACAATGTTATGAACTCATAAAAAGATTAGGGAGAGGAGTTGTGTATCTAGGTTCTTCAAGGATGGGGCCCAGCCATTCACATCATGTGCAAGCACAAGAGCTGGCTAAAGAGGCAAGTAAATTCTTACAATAGCTTCCAGCCTGTTTTCTTGGTTACTTGCTGATGGGTATTATTTATGTTTCCATTCTTTTGTTAGCCAAAAATATTGTTTCTGGCTTCAACAATTGTGATAGTCTTATTTAGAAGTTGTGATTGTTTTTTCTATATATCTTACTGCGCAGATCGCAAATCTTTTGGACTGCACTTCATGGTCAGGGGCTGGACCAGGGCTAATGGATGCCGTTACTCAAGGTGCCCTACTAGCAGGAAGACCAGTTGGTGGATTCAAGATAGGAAAAGAAGCTGGGGAGTGGACAGCATCTAATTTCCATCCGTACTTACCATCAGAAAATTACCTTACCTGCAGGTAAATCTACCACCATTGCTTAATAGCTTCTTCATTGCAATCGGCTGGTTACACTGTTTTGACTTTTGAGTTCAGGTTTTTCTCTGCAAGGAAGCATGGGCTGGTGGATGCTGTAGTGAGGAACAATGCATTTGATAAGACTGCTGTTGTTGCCCTTCCCGGTGGGATTGGAACCCTAGATGAGGTGTTTGAGATACTAGCATTAATTCAGCTAGAACGGATTGGATCAAAGCTTCCTGTTCCCTTCGTGTTGATGAACTATGATTCATTTTATTCAAAGCTTCTTGACTTTTTAAATGTTTGTGAGGATTGGGGAACTGTCTCTAAAGGAGAGGTTGCATCATTGTGGAAGGTTTGTAACAGCAACTCTGAAGCTTTAGCTTACCTGGCTGACTTCTACTGCATTTCTTCCAGTGACACAAGTAAGAATGTAACTAAATTGTATAGCACCCATGAATCACCCTCCTGATAAGAATTTTGCTTTCATTTTTTTTTTTCTGAATATTAAGTAGTTGTTTTCTTTCTTAACAAAGCTTGAACTGCATAATATTCTGTTAAACTATGGTTGACGGTTGACATGTGCAGTTGCAAAATTCTAATTGCATACAAATTTATCTTCAGATTCATCTATAGTCATATTTGTGATTTGGATAAAGTGGAAAAAGGAAACGAGTTTTCTTTAATTGTTATTTCCCAAATTCCTCTAATTATTTTTGTCTACCGGTGCCATTTATTGTTATTTTTGTCATTTACATTGTGGTAACCTTATAAACTTTTGTCATTGGATAAATGTCATCTTTCTCGCATATAAACTTATGAATTATGATTCTTGTCACTACCTTCCAAACTAGAAACTTTGTAGTTTTTGGCGTAGAGTTGAGAGTTGAGACTCTAGTATATATTTCAAGTTTCAGTGAAATAATATCCGGTTAACCTCCTTAGGCAATTGGATCCCTTATGGAGCATGTAATCTTGAATAGCTTCGGTAACAGTGCTTTGTTGCCAAACTTGTTTTACCAAAATCATGTTGACTGGACATTCTTAAGTAGGAAAAATGATGATGAAGAGTATAGATCTGAAGAATATGGCCATTGACTTGGGAAACATTAGCTTATCGGTCAGTTATTCTTCCTTTCCACGTGTCACATTAATTTTTTTATGTTTCCAATAGGTTGTAAGAATTAGACCATTAAGCAAAATCATAGAACAGAAACTGGGCCTAGGGATCATTGGACGAGTTCTTATATACTTTCTCCAATTCAAAATATTATTACTTTAGAAGTTTTGTGTTGTTTTAAATTATTTGTTAGTTTATAAAACTAAGAAAGTATTTATTATTTTGTTTTAAATTGTGTCCTTGTTTCTTATTAGTTCTGATACCCTCAACCTTAGATCTCACACTAGAGCTCAAGTTATTCATACTTATGTTTAACTAGATCTCTGGAAATGGATTCTTACACCCTTTCATGGGTTAACGGTCCATCATCTACTTCCACACAAGTTCATATAGCAAGCACCAAGGTATGAGACTACTACCAATATATAATGAGTAGATAAAACTTTAATATAAAAGGGAAAAGTATTATGGGAGAGAAAGTGAGTGGATTTTTTTTAATTTAATAAAAAAATATTATTTTGTGTCTATCTCTGTCTTAAGATGACATAACTTATATCATTTAAAATGACAAACATCAAATCTAATATAAAATATACATAAATAACTAGAGATATTTACATGCCAGATGGATTTAGATTCGGTGAAAATTAAAATCCATATTATTAACTAAATCTAAATGAGTTGACTTGAATCTTGATTCAGTTTTGAATTTTATTTTATTTTTAAATTTTTTAAATAAAGCTAAGCCAAATCATCCTAACCTTGAAGCAAGTTGATCAGTTCAAGTCACCGGGGCTTTCTTTTTTAAAAAACAAAAAAATTGTTGATGCAAAACACAACAAAATTTGATCACAGAGAGGGTGAATATAATTTATCCTTAAAGAAAAGTCTTGCTACAATTAGTTCGAGGGTATAAATTGTGAACAGTGATTTCTTGTTATTCATTATTTTTTTTTAATGTTTACATTTAAGACTAATCATTCTTGAATATGGAATGATTTAAATCTAAAACCGAATTAATTGAACTCATTCAGACTTTGGATAATGGTTGATATTATCAAAAGCTTTTCACGCAAGAGTAATATCCAGAACTCCAACTTTTAATATTTCTTAAAATGCAATTTTTTTTTTTTTTTTTTTGATAACATCTTAAAATGCAATTTAACTACCACTACGCCTAATATCTCATGAATTATTAATAACGATTAACTTTTCATGTAGTAATTTTATCTCTTAAATACATAAAATAATTTTCAAAGCATGGAATAAACCACAAAGATACCATCATGCCGGTGCTGCTTTTACACATGGATTATAAAAGGTGGCGCTTGACTGATTCTTTCATGTGGATAAGTAGCATTCCTTTTTTTTTTCTCCCGCAAATCATGATATAACTGTACTAGATTGACAAGTTGTTGAGAGTTGAGACTTTTTTAAGACAAGATCTATCTTCTACATTAAATCATTTAAATTAAGTAGTTGCAAAGCTCATATGCATATTGTTAAAAAAAAAGGAGAGGTTTACGGAAGTCTGTGCCTTAAAAAAGAGAGCCAAATAAAATAAAAATGGAATCATAATACGTACAAGATAAATTATTTATTTTTTATTTTTTATTTTATTAGTACAATTAACACTGAAAGGAAAATTAATTTGATGGTCCTCTCTCTCCTCTTTTCTCTCTTATCTCTCCTCTTCTTTCTTTCTATCCTACTCATACGAGTGGAGTTAATCAAATATTCACTCCACTGAAACATATAACTAACATTATTTTATGGATTTGTTATAAGGATCCATGACATTAAACAAAAAAAACTAAAATTTATATTCATATCTTAACTTTTTACGTGTTACTAAAAAGGAATTTCTGCACCGACAAATTTCCCTTATTTTATTACATTTGTAAATTACCTAAATCAGAAGGTTACAACTTGCTCAAGTACGACAAAAGTAAGGAAATAAGAAAAATCTAAACTTGCTCAAAAAATATTCAAGAAAGATGCTGGGAAACTAAAAGTAGTTTAGCGTCGCGCTAAAATAATATATTAGAGAGCAAAGTAATATTAAATCAACATATAATAAGGACACGCGATAAGGATGTTACGAAATGAAATAAAATATAAAGAAATATATTTCAACGCTTTAAGGCCACAAAGATTATCCCTAATTTTATTAACGAAAATACATTTGTCAAGTTGTTGCAGAAAAGTTTTTTTTTTTTCAATAGACTCGTTAAAATACGTGTCATCATTTTTTTTTTTTTCGATGGGTCTCGCTATTTTGATGTCTCAGCAGCATAAGATAGAAAATCTCTACTATTAAAGGAAAGATATTAAAGGAAAGACATAAAGCCCTTTTATTAAAGGAAAAAATTATTTTTATGTCACATGACATAAGTTTTATTCCTACACACCATTCGATAACTGTGCCACCTTTTTCTTTTCTTTTATTTTTTCAGGTGGTGGAGCCCACTAGTTTGTCTCTATGACATGAGATAACTATCCCCTTTAACATGAGATTAATAAAACCCTTTATTAAATCACAAATGATAGTAAGCACCAAGTCATATGGCTCCTACCAATACATAATAAATAAAAAGAGTTCAAATGTAAATTCTACATGAATAAATAAGGGTTTAGTTTAGATTGGTGAAAAAAAAAATTTATTACTGTTGCACTTCAAGACAATATTGGGAAGTAAGAACCTAAGAAGAACCCCAATCAAAGCAAAAAGAAAAAAGTAGTTATGTTAGAAAGAAAAAAAAAAGAGCTATTCTTTTAGATATACCAAAATGACGTCTTTAAAACTTCATTAAAAGAAAATGAACTCATGTGGGTTGGTATTCTCCATGTCGCTACACTATCCCAGATTTCAGTTACTTGATTTCAGATTAGGGTTTAAAAAGCAGCTAAAAATATTATGTCTTGAAATAGGATTGCAGGTGCATCCTTTTATTGATCACATTTTTGTGGATACGGATGATCAGATATCACATAAATACAAAACGTGCTTTTGATTTATGTAAACCGGAAAGATATAAAGAGGGGGAGAAAAATAAACGGATAAGAAATATTCTGTACAAGGAACAAAACTGTAGATTTCGTAGTACAAAAACACTTGGATGTAGGGGTGTTAAGACTCCACTAATCAAATAAAAAACAACAAAATTGATAAAATTAATTGGATTGTATAATTTTTTCAGTTCTAAATTTTTAAAAAAAAATATAACTTAAAATAAACAAAAAATTTATATGTATATTTTTAAAATGATATTTCACTTTGAAAATTTTCATATTATTCATATTTATTTCAAATTGTAATATCTCAAGTTAAACTTAATTCACTCCCTTAGATTTGGACATATATTTTAAGATTGACAATCAATTTAACTTCATCTAAAATTTAAATCAATTTTTATGAATTGTTTAAACTTGTATTTAGATAAATTAATTTGATTTGTATTTAATGTGTTTTGATAAAATTAAGGGTAATAGTTTTCTTATGTTGTAGAAGATATGTATTATCTCCTACACACTCATTGGTGCAGGTGGGGTCCATTTTTAAGGGAAGAGAGAGAAAAAGTAACGTGGGACCCATTTTGAGATTGTGTGTGTAGGAGATAGATTATATTTTATGCAACATAAGAGTAATAAATCCCTAAAATTAAATTCTTATATTTGAACGATGGTATTAGTGTTTTTAGGAGATAAATTTATCTACTACTAAAAGTGTGTATGACTCATGTAAAAAGAAATGAGAGACAAAATATAGGCCGATACACTATTGGAAGTGGATTTAATATTTCACTTGACCTGATCATGTGAAAATTTTATATCTATCTTTCTCTTTACATGCATTAAATATGTGAAGTCTAATTATCATTAATGAAGAAAAAGATAGACACAAAAATTTCACGTAATCAAATTATGTGAAATTTTAACATGAGAGTATCATTCCGCACACTTTTTATGTATATATTGAAGATAAAATTTTCTTAAGAAATATTAAATCCTTTAATGAATTATGTGTACAAGACAATTAATATGGCTAGCAGAATCTAGGTCATTTATTTTCTTATATTTAACGGCTCACATATTTACTAAATTTGAAAGATATAAATGGAATTACCGTAACTTATACCGATATCTTTCTATATATATATATATATATATATAGGTAGGATCCTTTGACACCGGTGTCAAATTTTAATTTTGACACCTCATCTAAGAGCCGTTAGATCAAAAAAGATCAATGGTGTCACATGCTTGCAAATCAGAGTCATCGATCTTTTTTAATCTAACGGCTCTAAGATGAGGTGTCAAAATTAAAATTTGACACCAGTGTCAAAGGATCCTACCTCATATATATATATATATATATATATATATATATATATATATATATATATCGTCATTTGGTTTTTGGTTTAATGTTTGGAATCCACTTTGCAATTGAACATAGCCAAGATACCCGTATCTCGTATATGCTCCCAGCTGTCTCTGAAACTAGCATGTGTTTTAGCAAGCGTTTAGCGTTATCTTTTTCTATTGGTTCAACTAGCAATGGGAGCGGGTAGTCTCTTTAAACAATAGAAGAATGAATGTATAGTCTACGCAAAATTATAATTAGCTAAATCCAACTTGCTCAATAAATAGTAAAGAATGAACAAGGGAAACTCTTATGTCCTCCTCACTAACTAAGGACATTAGGCTATATAATTTTTGGATGAAATAAAGTTTTCGTCTCACCACCATACAGCAGAAATCAGAGCTAGAGTAAAATGCTCCAATACGCGCAAAAGTTAGCGTCCAGTGTTTGCCACTTTTTCCCTTCTCTGCTTGGAATAGTATCAACTATACTATGGGGCCTCCCCTATGGAGTAATTGATACCATTAAAGCTAAACTAGAAAGCATTCAAACCCTCATCGATGTTGCAGATAGAGTGGCTGAAGGAGAAGAAGAAGGCGACAAGCCTAATGGAATCAAAGCATGGGTGGAGCGGCTGAGAGATGCAGCTATCGACCTAGAAAATGTGGTTGAAGATTGTTTGATCTATAAGGAACACGATCCTTGTAATCCTTGCTGCGCACTTTCACGCGATGAGATTGCTGACTTAATTAAACCTACAATTGCTCATTTTCAAATAACGAATGCGATTCGGATTAGCGAATCACTAGTTGGTATAATCGAGAAAGAACTCTTTCAGATCAATTCTTCTTCGAAACAAGGATCAAGCAGTTCTGAGGACAAAGACGCCACATTGCATAGCCTTCGACGGGCTCCTTTTGACTATGTGGAAGATGAAATTGTGGGCTTTGAAGATCTTAAAAGTGAATTGGATGATTGGTTGTCGGAGGTACCACTAGAGCGCACCGTCATCTCTCTAGTAGGAATGGGAGGGCAAGGAAAAACCACTCTTGCCTATAAAGCTTTTAACAGCGTGACTGAGAAGTTCCAATTCAATGCATGTATCAAAGACTGTCGGTCCTTCACTGTAAATGGATTGTTGAGTGTCTTGTTGAAGAAGATTTACCAATCAAAAAATGAGAGACTTCCTGCCGATATTCTGACAGTTGTCTCCAAAGAGGTACGTTGTCTTGTTTGATGATGTGTGGGATGAACATTTTTTTGAACGGATTCGATTTGCTTTACCCATGAATAAAAATGGAAGTAGGATTATTATCACAACAAGGGACATGCGTGTTGCATCTTGTTGTAAAAAATATCCTAATTCACATGTGCTTGTGGTGCAACCTTTAAGTCCAGAAAAATCTTTGGAGTTGTTCCTTCAGAAAGCCGGAATTGATTTGACTGAATGTTTTTCAAAAGATCTTATGGGTATATGTTCTGAAATTGTTAAAAAATGTGAGGGTTTACCAGTAGCACTTGTGGCCATTGGTCAATATTTATGTATGCTAGAAAAAGAAAAACATGTATGGACAGAATTTAGTCAAAAGCTTAGTTCAAATTTGGAGAAAAATTCCCATTTAACTGCTATCAAGGCGTATTTAGATACTAGCTATCACGATTTGCCATACCGTCTCAAACAATGCTTGTTGTATTTTGGAATATATCAAAAAATTGAATCTAAGAGACTGATTCGGCAGTGGATAGCTGAGGGGTTTATCAAATATGAAACCGGGGAAACTTTGGAGCAAACTGCAGAAATTTTTTTGACTGAGTTGATCCAAAGAAATCTGGTTCAAGTATCTTCATTTGGTAGTAATGGCAAAACTAGAATTTGTCATGTTCATGGGCTAGTACATGACATGATCCTTAAAAAAATTGCATATTCAGGTTTTTGCCACTTTGTTAGGGAAAATGGTGATTCGTCAGCATCTGATCATAGGAATTTTCGTCGCCTAACAATAGCAACCATTTCCAAAAATTTGATTAAAACTTCTGAAACGCCAGTCATTTGGGAACTTATAAGGTCAAAGAACAAGCAGGAACGCATAAGAAGGGCACAGTACACGCGGTCACTGCATATTTTAACAGAGGAAGAATTACCAGACCACTTTGTGAGGAGTATCCCTACAATATACTCCCGATTGAAGGTACTTGATTTTGAAGGCGCTCCACTGTATAATGTTCCAGAATATTTGGGAGTTTTATCATACTTGAGGTATTTAAGTTTCAGAAATACAGAGGTACAGAATCTTCCAAGATCCATTGGTAGACTCCACAGCCTCGAGACCTTGGATCTAAGGCAAACTGGGGTGCGTGAGGTGCCAAAAGAGATTAACAACCTCAAAAAGCTTCGACATCTTTTAGCTTATGGTCCGTATAATGGATATGGGATTCGAATGAATGATGGGATTGGAGCCCTAGAATCCCTCCAAACGCTACGTGAAGTGAAAACGGGTCTCGGTGGTGGAAATCTGATTGAAGAGCTTGGAAGTCTGACGCAGTTAAGGGAGTTGGGCTTGACAGCAGTTTGGGGAGAATTCACAAGTTCTCTATGTTCCTCAATCAATAAGATGCAACATTTGGAGAAACTATATATCGCTGCAGCATTTGAAGATGAAGTCATTGATTTGGACTGCGATGTATATGCACCTGTACTTCGGAAGCTTCTACTTAGAGGGAAGTTGGACCCGTTCCCAAAATGGGTTTTAAAGCTCCCAAATCTTGTTAAGTTGTCCTTGTCATACTCCAAGTTAACTCATGATCCATTGACTACACTAGGACATATGCCAAATTTGTTGTACCTCAGTATCCTGATCAATCGTGCACTTGAAGGTGAATGCTTGCACTTTCGAGGTGGAGGGTTTCAGAAGCTAAAGCAACTAGTACTCAAGTCCTTGGGTGATTTGGATTCCATCGTTATTGACACAGGAGCACTGCCTTCTCTCGAAAAGTTCACATTAGTCAAAACCCCCAAACTCAAGGAGGTGCCTTTGGGTATCTACAACTTACCAAATTTGTTGTACCTCAGTATCTTCTATGGTGCATTTCATGGTGAATGCTTGCACTTTCGAGGTGGAGGGTTTCAGAAACTAAAGCAACTAGAACTCAAGTCCTTGTATGATTTGGATTCCATCGTTATTGACACTGGAGCACTGCCTTCTCTCGAAAAGTTCACATTAGTGAATATCCCCCAACTCAAGGAGGTGCCTTTGGGTATCTACAACTTACCAAAGCTTGAAGTCCACATTATGGATATGCCAGATGAATTTGTGCAAAGCATTGATCACGATGGGGGACAACAGAAGTGGATCATAGAGGAGGTACAGGAGCCTTATGCAAGAATTGTCAAACGATTTTGGGAATAAAAATACGTCCAGCTTCGGAAATAAAAGGTACGTTTTTTTCTTTCTAATAATTGCATAATGATGTTGGTAATGTCCGCTAGCTGTTCAGCCTTCAAAATGCAAGTTTTATCTGATTCCTAAAATATTTTCTATACTTTTATTGCCTCTCTCTCTCTCTCTCTGTCTCTCTCTCTCTCTCTTGGTGAATTATTTCTGGATTATTCTATATATATGTTCCTTTCCACCACTCACTAGAAATTGTGAATGATAATGTCTATTCAACTATAACAAAATTAGGTATTATTTTGGGCTCTCAAGAGCTATTCATTTGGAATCCTTTCATTATGAACAGTCTCATCTTTCTAATGCTCTGTAATAATATTGCATTCCGACTTGGCAGGTGATAAGCTTCCGGAGCTGTGGAATCCAGATTCTCCATGCGTCCTTTCACAACAATGGCATTGTATCTTTAAGTTTCTGGTTTGGCATTTCAGTCCCCAACTAAGGAGAACATGTAAACCTGTATTTCTTTAGCAAAGGGATGCGAAATGAAACCTCTCAATAAAATTAGAGTGATTCAAGACATTTTACTTTGTGATTCCATTCTTTTGTGATGTATCATGTTCGTGTCATGTTTTGACAATTTATTTTTCTCAGATTATAAGACTTTCAATATTAAGGTGGATGTGTGGGTACACAAGGATGGATAAGATAAGAAATGAAGATATTCGACGAAAGGTCGGAGTAGTACCGGTAGCCGAGAAGATGAGAGAACATAGATTGAGGTGGTTTGGGCACGTGATGAGAAGACCTATGGATGCTCCTGTAAGAACAGAAGTTTGTTACCAAGAGCTAAACACAAAAAGAGGCAGAGGTAGGCCGAAGCTTACTTGGGGGAAAGTAGTAAAACAAGATTTAATGGAGTGGGACATAGATTGGCGGACAGTATGTCTTAGAAAGGAATGGAGAAAAGCTATAAGTATGGTGGAGGGTTAGACTCGCTGTTATTCCTATGTTCCAGATGGTCCTTTTTTAGTCCTTTTCCCCTTCATTTCCCCCACTTCTTCTTGTCCCTTTCTTTTTTACTTTTATTTATTTATATATACATATATTTTTATTTCATTTTATTTTATTTTATTATTTTATTTGTGTATTTTTATTTATTTATTTATTTATTTATTTTTATTTTTTATTTTTTTTACTTTTTTTCAACCGTTTTGTATCTTTCATGTGGGTTCATCTACCACCGACCCCAATTAATTTGGGATAAAGGTGTTGTTGATGTTGATGTAAGACTTTCATTTATGTGGAAGTATTGCTTTCTATTTCGGGATAAAAAAAAAATTTATTCATGTAATTTCTTTGCTTTTATAATGTTCCCTTGCTTATTGATTTTTTTTTTTTCGCTAAATTTTAATTCCTCCACCTTCTGTTTTTCTTGTGGATACTTTCATTCACTACACCCATATTTTGGCCACCGAAATAAACAAAATTTCCATGAACTATATGGCCCTCCTGTTCAGACTTTAACAGTTTGCGACTGGTATTTGGATAAGAACCAATGATCATGTGAAGAAGCAAGAACGATAAGAAGTAATTGGATATTTCTTGAAAGTTGAAACCGAGAAAAATAAGGTTCATCAAGGGTTTGATAATGAAAAGGGGTATATTGGATTAGAATTTTAAAAGATTTTTTTGAAATACAGAATCTTATAGATTTTAAAATATTAATTAAAATTGGAGGGACTTTAAAGGCTTTTTTAAAAAACTTTTTTTACAAGATTTCATAAGATTAGATTTAATGAATTTTAATAGAATTTATAAGATTTGAAAGGACAATATGAATTTATAAGATTTTAAAAAGCTATATGAATTTTTAACAAACATTCAAAATTACGAGAGTCAACAAAATAAAATAAAATAAAGCAATACAATGATATTAATAAAAAAATTAAAATATAATATAATTTTCTCAATCAATAAAATTTACGATAAAATTTCATGGGGTAGGATATTGTAACAATCAAATAGGGTTATTACTAATATCACTACCAATCAATTTCACTGTTAGATTGATTATGTTGATCCAACAGTTATATTTATTTCCATTTTTGTATGATTATGATTCCCCTATGTAATGTGAAAGCATTAAATATGAGAAATCATAACCATATAAAGATGAAAATAAATATAAAGTATTAAATATGGAGAATCATAATAATATAAAGATATAAATAAATATAACTGTTGGATCAACATAATCGATCTAATGATGAAATTGATTGGTAGTAACCCTAATTGATTGTTACAATCTATGATGCACGGACACTGACACGGGACACGACACGCCGATACGTTAATTCTAAAAAGTGACATATTTCGACACGTTAGGACACGTTTTGCTATTAAATAATATTTTTAATATATATAATATAATTTATATTTAATAGATATAACATTCCATAATAAGTCATATAATCAATCAAATATTCAAATTTCAAAACATAAATATAAACAAAAATAATTTTTCGTACTTTGTTAATTTTTCATGTCAAATTTCATAATAGAAAAAATTGATTTATGAATGATTTTTTTTTTAATTTTAGTTAATAAAATAAAATTAAGACTAAAAAAAAAAATGTGTCCGAACGTTGACCACGTGCTCGAAAAAGTTGACTGCGTGTCGGAAAAACGTGTCAGAGCGTGTCAGAGAATTGACCACGTGTCCCAAAATATTGACTGCGTGTCGGAGCGTGTCCGACACGCACAATTCAAGAAAAAAGGTGTGTCCGTGTTTCGCTGGTTACAATATCCTACCTCCAATTTCATTTGAAATATTTTACAATTAATCTTGCAAACTTTGGTGCTTTTGTTCTACGTTGTGAGAATTTTCTAACCATATATCATATCATGTTTTCATTTAGTATTGCAAGAAAATTTCGAATTTGAATTTCTGGATTTTATTTTATGAAAGTTTAGAAACTTTATTTTTAAATCTGAATTTTTGAATTTTATTTCATGAACATATATCATGATGGAGTTGATAACTCTCTAAAAAATTTAAGTTGATAGTTGAAGATACAAATCCATAAATAAATAGAGTTGCTAAAAGTTATAACTTCTGGTTTGACAAATAAACATTTAATTCCAATAAATGAATGATTTTATTTACATCTTTAACAACTAGTGCAGATCCTATCTGACCATATGTCCATGATACTAGTGCAGATCATGTCTATGAGTAAGCCAGCCACAATTGGTACAATTATTGCAGATCCTATCTAACGAGAGAATTTAGGGTGGACCGGGACCACCATTTTTTAAGTGGTCCCTTACTGTAAATGGGAGGGTAAAATTGAAAAAAAAGAAAAATAATAAGGATAAAAAAGGAAAAAAAAATTAGTGTTGTGAGAAGAAATATCAAATTATTGGATGGTCCTGGAGCATAATAAATATTTCCCTATCTGACCTCATATTATAACAAGCGTGATCTCTTTCTATTGGCCCAGCTAACAATGACAGCTATGTTCTCTTAAAAAAATAGAGGTATGAACCTATGTAGCACCGATACCGACACGAGACACGTGACACGATACGACACGACACTCCGACACGTTAATTCTAAAAAATGTTAGATTTCGACACGTTAGGACACGTTTTGATATTAAATAATATTGTTAATTTATATAGTGTATATTATATTTAATATTTAATAATTTAACAAAATGTAATATAAACTTATAATATTCATAAGTTTTGCAAAGAAACATAAGATATCTCAAATATTTATATTAAAATCAATAAAATGGTAATCGTAAGTCAACGAATCTAATAGTTGAAACTAAAAATTCAACACAACGCAACCTTTGAACTTTTTTTTGAATTTCTATAACGCGTGTTGGAGTGTCGGGGAGTGTCGGAGTGTCCGAGAGTGTCGGGAAGTGTCGGACACGACACGTCAGGATTTTTGAAGTGTCGGTGCTTCATAGGTATGAACAGTCAAATAAATTAACTAAATCCAACTTGCTCAATAAATATCAAAGTCTGACGAAGGGAAACTCAGTCTTCCTTTCAGTATAATATGATATGGATACGGCAGTATTTGAAAAATATAAGATATTACAACACTATATATACAATACACTTACAATTCAACGAGCTAAGATCTCGGCATGTTCCCACATGCTTGTGCTGCTTTGACTACTGGATTTGGATTTCAAAAAGTGACCTCTAACCTTTTCTTCAACGAGAATTAACATTTTTGTTGAATTTCTTTGAATATTTTTCCCAAACAATAAAGACCAGAACAGACCAAAAAATGTAAAAGAACTCATAAAAAAAAAAAGACACAAGATATTACAAGTTCAGAAACTCAGTGTTAGTGAGTTTCTTACGTCCTGGGACCTAAAGAGGGTTAAGCGTCCTTTGATATTGCACTTTATTCAAATCAAGAATTAGCATACAATTTCAGATGTACAAAAATTAAAACATATGAAGAAACTACAATATGTGTAAATAGATCAACAAGAAATAGAACCTTGACCATTTGGTGCATTCTTTTCTTCCTTTTCTTTTAGTTCGTAATAATATCATAAATGAAAAGATATTTCAGAAATGAGGGGCGCGTAGACTTATGCGCGCGAATTTTTCTTCTCTGTTAGGGTTTCGCTTCTCGTTCTTCTTTGAGGTTTTTTTTTCTTTGATTTTCCGTTCTGATTGCTGATGGAAGACGAAGTGATGTTGAATCAAGCTTCCCCAGAGGGAGATGGAGGGAAGGGAGGTAGAGAGAGGGTACAATCTGAGGAGGATCTGTCCTTGCGAACTGGTAAGAAACCAAAAGGGGATTTGGCTGTTATGGGTGAGGATCTGGTCATGGATGTTCCGATGATCGAGAAGGGTGTGGGGAGAGAGGATCTAGATCCTAATCCCCCATGCAGGCTGAGAAGAAAAGGTCGGAATCTGCTGGTAGCTTACGAACCAATCTGGTGTCGTATAAGGACAAACTACTGAAGCTTAATGGT